GGTGGGGCCACAACATTAGTAACAAAGAAACAGAATTTCTGGAGGATGAGGCCCAGAAATCAGGATTTTAAGAAGATTCCCAGGTGATTCTAATGTGCAGCCAAGGTTGAGAACCACTGCAAACCCTTACTATTTCCAAAGTGACTGGATTGTCTGTTATTCATGATGGATCTCCAAAGCACACCTGATGGTTTATGCTAATGATGACCCACCTGATGAATTAATGCTAATGAGATGGCTCACCTGATAGTTAATGCTAATAGTGACTCACCTGATAGTTAATGCTAATGGAATCAGAATTGGGGAGGGGTGGTCATGCCAGGAAGACCAACCATGTGACCAGACAGTTAGCACTCTGAGTCCCATGACGCCAGGCTGCCTTCTCAGGAGGAGGTCAGCCAGGGGCAATGGTGCAACCAGTCAGCCTACATAGTGATGGCCCATGAAGGTTGGCCATCAGACCTGGGGGAACCCCCTGGATGGCAACGTCTCCCCAAGGACCTCCGGGCCCCACCTGGACCCTCCCGATCTCGCAGTCGCCATCGCTCCCTTTGGCTGGTTCTGAGTTGTATCCTTTTGTTATAATGAAACAAACCAGAATGGTAAGGACAGCACTTTCCTGAATTCTGTAGGTCATCCTAGTGAATTGTCAAATCTAAAACGGTTCATGGGAAGCCCTGCAGTTATAGCCAGGGGGTCAGGAGTGAGGGGGCCCTGGGGACCCCCATGTATAACTCGTGTCTGAAGTGGGGGGTCAGGGCCAGCCGTGGAGGACTGCGCCTTTCGCCTCCGCTGGCTCTGGGCAGGCATGTACTTTGTGACCACTCACAGCTTGTAGCTGCTGTGAGGATTGGGAACGTTTGGGAACCACGGAGCTGACCACTCAGGCCCTGCGGCCTCTCTTCCCTCACTGGCACCCCTGGTGGTTGCTCTGGGCAGGAAAAGTGTCCTAAAAATGTGTGATATTTATAGATCGAAATTAGGCCACAGGACACAATACACTGAGAGGGAGGCCGAGAGCGCGGGGACGTGGCACCTCCGGGGCTGCGTGGAGTGCGTGACTCTTGCTCGGGGTTTGGAAACAGGTGGTACAGAAAGGGACAGCCAAGTGGCAACAGGACGGTCTTGTCTGAATCTAACAGAGTCCCACCCCGTATGCCATGACCATCTTCTCTGGCAACGAGAGGACCCTCCGTGACAAATGTGCTATTTCCTAATTTCCTCTTTGGAATGCTTTCCTTTCATGTCTATTTATTTATGTGGGAGGGGTGTGCAGGGGTGTGGTTTACGACTGGTCACTGGATAATTACCTTAACGAATGGAACTGCAAAGGTGCTGTTCCACCAGTGGGGAAGGCATCACAGGGCTCGGAGCCCCCGCCAGGGCCAGGACCCCACGCTGGGTGGGTGGTGTCTGGGACTCCGCCTCTTCGCTCACTTCCCAGGGCGGCTGCAGAGCGCACCCTCTTGCTGCTCTACCGGGTATTAGAAGGTGGGCCCAGTGCCTGCGTGGGGACTGAGTGCGCTCACTGCGGGGCAGCAGCCTGGACGGAGATCCCATGGACGACGACCTGAACGCGCCATGAGGCCAGGCAGCCGCAAGCAAGGGGCCCATTTCAAAGCCCAGGCTGCTCTCTACACTGGATCCTCCTTCCCACAGGTTCGCCTGATGCAACGGCACCACCAAGCCACCCAGGAGCCACAAGGAGCACCCAGGGCTTGAGAATGTGCTCTCTTCACAGTAAGTGTTATCGTTGTCCCTCAAGGCCGATCCCCCCAAAGACAGGCAGCTCATTTAACAGGGAAGAAGGTCTCTTAAAATGGAGAGACCCCAAGGGAGTCCTGGGAGAAAATGCCATTATTTGTAATAAATATTGTGACACAAAACCGCACAGACCAAGTCTGTTTCAGAGAGCGGGTGACGCAGAACGAGCAGCAACAGGTGTAGGAAATGCTTTCATCCGAGAGCCCAGGTCTGCCTGGGACCTTCGTGTTCCCCCACGGCCTCGTGAGGTCAGGCAGAGCCACAGGACGCACTTCCCACCCTGGCTTCCCACCTTCAGAGCTTGGCCAGACAGGAGGCACCCGCCCTCGGCTCCCCTCCGACAGTCTGCACGCCAACCCTAACGCCCACCTCATGCTGTCTCCACGCCAAGAGCTGGCTTCTGGGTCATTCCCCCGCCCCCCAAAACGTCCCCGCGCCTGGGCTCATGTGTGGAGAAGACACGGAGGCACACAATGTGCTTGGGCTTTTATTTCCGTTTCTGAAAGGAGCCATGTATCTTCTAAATACGAAGGCGAGTTCAGGTTGGGCTGTCTGTACAGGGAGAGTGTCCCATACCCGTCAGAGCAGCTTAAGAAAGGTCGTCCCTGACCGGCAGGTGAGGCTCAGCGGTTGGAAACTAGAAAACAGCACCCAGATACCAAGAGGTCTGGGCGATTCCTGGTCGGGGCAAAGCCTGGGCTTTTGGCTCTATCCCGCTGAGGCTGTGCGGGAGGCAGCCAGTCAATGTTTCTCTCTCACCAATGTTCCTCTCTCTCTCTCTCTCTCTCTCTCTCTCTCTCTCTTTCCCTCCCTTAAAAAAGAAAAAAGAAAAAAAGAAATGTCACCGCTCAGATCCCGGGACAGGAGAGACTGCCCGATGCCCAGGTGGGAGGGGAATTGGGGTCACCCTGTCACTGCCCCTCGGAGCTGCAGCATAACCAGACGGGGAGCTGAGAGGACCTTGGACCTTGACCGAGGTCAGGAAACACTGAGCAAACACCCACTCCTCGGCGGCCCTCAGGCTACAGTCCTTTCCTGTCTGACAGGTCACCTGCGTTTCAGTGTGTTATTTACTCTGGAGAAAAAGGAGAGAAAAGGTGAAGGTGCGCATGTTTGAAGGTGAAGTTCTTCCTAGTTAAGGTGCCCTGAACGGCACAGAGTGAATTATTAAACCGGCGGGAAGATGGGCCAGACTGTTACCTTGGTCTGGTGGTTTCTAAACAACATCTATCTGCCCACCAGGTTTCCTGCCTGGGAACAGCCATCCTACCCATAGCTCCGCATCGTGCCATAAGGCGCGGCCTGTGGATGCTAAGGTGGGCATCCTCCGAGGTGGCCACGCTCTCAGGACGGGAGCTCGGGAGGGTCGGGCAAGCAGGGCTGAGGCGGGTGGAAATGCCCTCGGTGCGGGAGACCCCGAGTCCCGGTGGGGAGACCCCGAGTCCCAGTGGGCGAGAGGCACCTCTGATTCGGGACTCAGGGTGTTGACCCCGGGGGGCCCACTTGGTGTTAATGAACTCAGGGACCTCCTGATCCCCCAAAGCTGGAGCTAAACTGGTTCTTCTGTAGAGAACCCGCCTGTCAGCCCTGAGGGCTGGACTCAGGGGCAGGGCCACCAGCTGCCTGTCCCTCCACCAGCTGCCCATCCCTCCCCAGAGCTGGCGACCAGGCGGGGCCATCCAAGGCGGGAGCCCCGTGCGCACCACGTGGCCACACAGGGTTTCAGATGTGTGATGCGGCTGCGTCAGAACAGGCTCTGGGTTACCTCTCCCTTCGTCCCAGACTTTTGAAACCTTTCAATGTAAAGAAAACCTGCAACAGTGTGGCAGATCTGGGAAGGGGAGAGGCAAGCGTGTCCAGGAGGGGCCTGATGGAAACCGCAGGTTCAGGGGCGCGCGGCGCCCGGGCAGCAGCGAGCTGCCATGTGGGTCCTTCCCACGAAGCCCACGAGCCCGGCTGCTCTAATCCAGCTTTACTCGCGAAGCCAGTGGGGCCGGGCGGGGCGTGGGCGCCCAGGCCCACGAGGCTGAGGTTCAGGCTCCAGCCCCCGGTAGTCAGTGACCGCCGCCACACGCTGTGTTTTAGAATCAGTGACGGGCCCGGCCCCACAGAGCCCGGGGGACAGGACGCCAGGCACTGAGGGACCACATACAGGACACCACCACGATCGGGCCCATTGGCCCCTGCACGCCACTCGGGGCCCCGATGGCCTGTGGCTGCCAGAGAGGACACGTGTGAGAACAGGCAACCCCGTGGGCAGCCGCCAAGGGGCAGCTGCTGAGGAGGCCTCGCTGGGGGGCGCCAGCCACTCACCAGTCCTGCACAGCGTTGAAGGACTCCCCGTTGGTGATGTCGTACATGAGGATGAAGCCCATGGCCCCGCGGTAGTAGGCCGTGGTGATGGTCCGGTACCGCTCCTGGCCCGCTGTGTCCTGGAAAGAACGGACAAGCTGAGAACCAGGCCATGCATCTCCTGGACGTGATGAATGACCCCCAACAGGCCCAACAGAGTCCAGCTGTACCAGCCACCACAGCTACTATCTACCCCAGTCATGTCTTTCCGAGTCATTTTCATGGGTTAGGTCTGCAAATTTTGAAAAACTGTTTTTGGCAAAGATCCAGCTCAAAGCACCTTCTACATGGTTCACTCCCACTGGCAGCAGGAAGTGAGAAGGAAGATGGTGCGCATCACATTCCGTGTGCTCCAAGCAGTGAAGACGGAGGTCGCGTTAGCCCGTCCTGGTGCCTCTCCCGTGTGATGCCAGCGCGTCATGTGGGCTACGCTTACGGGAAGGTCTCCGCGTGTACAAGCAAGTGCTGGCTGTTTATGCTGTAACGTGAGGTCAGACCCCTTCTCTGTGCGGATGTCCCTCGGTCGCGGGGACCTGCCCCTGCGAGCCCAGCTGCTCCGAGGGTTAAGGACATGGAGCGCGTGGACCTGGCACACAGACAGTGGGAGGCAGGCAGCCCACAGTCGCAGGGCCCAGGCCACAGGGGAGATGGCCTGGGAGAGCCGAGTCTGGGCGTCAGCGGAATAGCCTGTGTGGGTCACAGGGACTGTGTCCTGTAGCTCGAGACACCACTGCCCACTCAGCAGCACACAGAGCCTGGGACGCCCGTGCTCCCCTCCACCCCCAGCCGGGCCCGGACTCCCTCCACAGACTCGTGCGCTTCGAACCCAGTTTGCGGCCTTCTCCCCTTCTCCTTCATGCTCAGCGTGCTCCCCAGTTACCCCAACACTCAATAGGCCTGAAGGGAAAGCTAACGTGTCCAATGCCCCACAAATAGGGTCCTTATCATCAGAGCGAAGCCAGCACCTCCTGGTCTCCCTGTGGGGATGGCTGGCCTCTCCCCCTCCCGCGGGGACGCTACCCCACCCTGGGCTAGCAGAGGGGTCTCAGGGCTGCTCACAACGTCCCTGATTGGAGTGGTGCAGTCTGCTTGCCCCTGCGAGTTCAGAGAAGGTGGTCACACCAGACTAAAGAAATGTGCACATGATTCCGGAGAGCCAGCAGGTGTGCAACGGGAGCTGACGATCAGCTGAGGCCGTGGGGGACAGGGATCAGGCTGCCCTGATTAGAGGTGTTTATTCGATAATATTAGGGAAATAAGGCTCCAGAGGTCAGATGAACACAGAGCACAGAACCCAAAAGAGCAAAAATAAAGCAACCCTGTGTGGGGAGCTTTCAGAACCCACCAAGGGCAGGGAGACAAGCTCAGGTTCCATCACATGGAAATCTGGCAATTCCTCAGATACAGAGAAGCCCTGTAAGTAAAATGGATCCAATCGAATGATAAGCTGGAAAAACATTCGCACCAGAGACCAAGGATAACAGCTTTAATATACTACGTGGTGTTAGAAATCATTACGGATTAGGTTAAATATTCTAATTTTAAATTTTTTTGTAAACAGGTACATAAATAGCTAGTTTTTTATAAAAGAGTTGAATCCCAAGTATAATAGAAAGGCAATACTGCATAGCTTCACACCTATATAGAAGCGACCTAGCCATTATTTAGCAAACATTTTTTGTACTTTTCTTGGTATTTTATAAATGAGAGAAAACATGGATATCATAAACTGCATATAATTGGGACAAATACACACAATTATTCAGCAAAAAGGAGACAATCTTGAACAGATTCTCAAAGACTATGTTTGGGAAACAAGGTATAGTGGGAGACTGGGTGGTGTATTTTAGCTCATTAGGGAACAGAACAACTCATAACAACTCATTCTGTCTTAAAACTCCCACAGCGACGTGAGTCCAGATCCCCAGTTGTCTATCGATCCCTGTTTCTACTGTGAATTTACCTTCTTCTTCTCCAGGTGAAAGATCCTCTGGCAGCACCTGAGCAGCTTCCTCACAGGCGAGGGCCCCGCCCCCTCCCGCCCTCTGCACAGCATCCTCTCCCCCGTCAGGCACGTCCTCATCGGGGCCTAGAGTCCTGTGCGGGACAATGACGTCACCTCTTCCTCCTGACCTCTTCCCTGTGGCTCCCCTCAAAGATGTTAATTTTATTTATTTTTATTTTTAAAAATATATTTTATTGATTTTTTACAGAGAGGAAGGGAGAGGGCATCGATCAGCTGCCTCCTGCACACCTCCCACTGGGGATGTGCCCACAACCAAGGTACATGCCCTTGACCAGAATCGAACCTGGGACCCTTGAGTCCGCAGGCCGACGCTCTATCCACTGAGCCAAACCAGTTAGGGCAAAGACGTTAATTTTATTTTGACAGTAAAGAACCAGCCCCAGTGTCATAAACACCAATTCTGCACAGCGCACACGGAGGTTTTGCAGGGCAAAGTCATGACTGAAATGTTACAGGAAACCACAGGGCAGAGAGCCATCACGTGTCGCAATTGAACACGAGAGGAGGACAAACACAGTGTTCAGGAACGAACATCAAAGCTTTTAGAAGCTCTGAAGGCCCAGCAGGAGCAGGACCCTCATTTTGTCTTAAACCCAGAAACACCATCTAACTAACTGGAGTTGTTGTCACGGGAAAGCTCTCGGGGAGAATGGGAAACGCACCGGGCAGGGGAGTGAGTGAGAAATACAGAGAATTCCCTCCAAGGGCAGGAGAGAGGACGACGAGGCTGAAGCTGGTAACAGACATGCTGGCCTGCAATGGTTTTGGTTTTGAAACCATTTCAGGCTGACGGGCTCATTAGCTTTTCTCTCCTGTGACATCAGGGAGAAAATGGGGTCAGAAAGCGCTTCACTGCATCAGCCATTTACCGATGAGGGCGGAGGTGATATTAGAAAGAAAAGAACATTGCGCACTGGCAACTGCCCCTCCCGTAACCACACGTGGCAGCGGGAGGAGAGTGAACGGTCCCTCCCCTTCCTTTGCTGGGAAATGGCTCCAAGCCCTGGCTTTGGGCTGCTCCCTGCCCAGCTGATCCGAATAACTGGGCCACCTGCTGATTTTCCATGAAAACAGGCTCTTGCGATGGGAACCACCTGAAATCTCTTGCAGAGAAAACAAGGGACAAAAGTATGGCCGAAACGAAAGCTTTCTCCCAGGAGCTGGTTTCGCCTCCCTCTCTTTAAGAAAATAAATCCCTTCAGTTGGTTTAAATATTTTGATTCTCAATCAGGTTTTTAGAAAAATGTTTGGCTTTAATGACAGGTTTGATTAGCAAACACTTGACTATCTGTCAAGAAAAAGACTGAAATGGGAAACATTTGCAGCTTGAGACATAGTAGCTGGGAACATTTCAGTTTGAATTTTGGCATTTTTGTCTTTGTCTTGAATTTATTTCTCTGATACTACGTGTTTTTTCTTTTAAACTCTGTGTGCTGCATTTTCAATCCCCATGGAGGTCCTACAGAGATAAGAGGCAGTTTTAATACTGAGGAAACAGCTTTCATTTGTAAGGTCTGGGCTATACTGTAATTTGGTTTTTGTCTTGGTGGTTACTTTTCTCTGTATTGGATTACATGGAAAATGGAAGTAATCATTACTAAATAAACATAAATACTATCACCATAATCAAAACACATTTATTGAATGTCCACACAGAGAAAAACAGATCGAAGGGCAGGCAATCCTGTACGTGATGAAGTGGGTAATTTTCTAGTTGGAGAAACCAAACCAAAGCACATTGCTGCGACTGGTCAACAACAGTAGTTACATGTGTTAAAGGAAACAACATGCACCAACCAAAGAGAAAGGCCACAGACCGGAGGCTGAGGAGACGGCAGCATAGACGGAATGCGTCTTGAGCCAGTGAATGTCCAAAGGCACAAGCCTGTGGGCATCAGCATTCAAGCAGGAGTGACCCCTTAACCTGGACTTTGCTACATTTTACCTGTAGAAATTACTCTGAATTATCAAAGGAAGATGAAACTATGCTCAGTATCCTGACTATATAATGACTCATTCATTCATTCAGTCATTCATTCATTCAATAAACATTTAGTGAATGCCTATTACCAGTTAGGGACTGTGCCAGGTATATGTTAAATTCCTTTTATCTATTCTAGACATATTTTTGCACATTTTAAAATTCTACACCTAAGAGCATTCATTAATCAGATGTCACATTCCCTACATGTCTACGAAAGATGAGGTAACTTGTGAAAACATCATTTCTGAAGAACCAGAGAGTATAGCAATGTAAAATGGCAACCGAGACCACACCGTCGGCTCCGTGGTGAGCTGTCCCCTCATAGCACTGCCAGGGGTTCTATTAGGAAACGGACTGTGACCTCATTTGGAAATAGGGTCTTTGCAGGTGGAGACAAGTTGAGTTCTCAGGGAGGAGGGTGGCCCTGATCCTATGACACAGTCCCTTGAAGAAGAGAAAACAGACACAGGCCCACGGGGGCCACACGACAGCAGAGGCAGAGTCCAGTGATGCAGCCACAGCCACGGACACCAAGACAAGGACTGGGGCAGCTGCCACAGCTTGACCGAGCCTGACAGACCTGGCCCTGCCGACACCTTCATAAAGGTTCGTGGCTTCAGAACCACAAATCCACAATGTCTGCAGTTTTAAGCCACCCGTGGGGGCTTCATTACGGCAGCCCTAGGACCCTAGGAGCCCGGTTTTCAATCTTTATGATCAGGGCAAAGCAATATAAATGTCACAGCTTCCCAAACACACTCACTGCTTAACAGAAGGGAAAAGATAGAAAATTAGCAGTGACTTGTGAAGTAGTTGAACATAGTTTCCCTGTGTGAATTCATGTAGTTATGCTAAAATGTATTAATATATTCCCTTTATGTAAAATAATTCTGGTTAGAAAAAGGTAAGGTGCTATATCTTATCGTCTTAAGACCCTGGCCGCTGTGGCTCAGTTGGCTGAGCATGGTCCCACACAGCCAAAGGCTGCCAGTTCAATTCCAGTCAGGGCACATGCCCGGGTTGTGGGCTTGATCCCCGGGTGGGGTGGGGGGTGCAGGAGGCAGCCTATT